CGAGTTGGATGTGGCCGGTAGAGCATCGGGCCTCCAAACTGAAGAAAGTATAATGTACATAGCTTTTTGTAAGATTAAGAGTAAACAATGATTGACTTATGACACTAGTTGAGTTGATTGATGGACAGGTGTGTTTCTTTGATAGAATGGACATGAAAGAGGTTATAAAGTAATTGTATAAGGTTATTGATACAGGATTAACAAATCCCGAGGCATTAACACCTAATGAGTATAGATTCTTTGACAAAGTCACCGAGTGTCAATTGGACTGTCTTAATCCGTCTTCAAAGGAAATGAGATAAGTAAGAGTTATAGACACAATTAATTCGATATTAGCACATTATAGTAAAAACAGATAAAGAATTTCATAGATAAACGTCCAAATTTAGTATAAAATATTAAAAAGTGATTTTAATTCAAAAATGTTAATTTTGCTCGGTGACAGTAGTTAAAAAAATGAGATTTTTTCTCCAATTAACGTATTGACATAATGCACATTTATACTGTAAAATGTACATTTAATTTTTTTTTCATGATCAATTATTAAGACCGATAATTTCGATGTTGATATTTATAAATTAAAAAGTGCATGTAAATTGAAATAATGATAAAAAATAATTAAATTAAAGCACGTACATGTACATGTTCTTATACTGTATCTTGAGATAATAAAATTCTTTATTTTATCGAAGACCAGTTTTTTTTCTCTTTTTTTTTTTTTTTTTTTTTTTTTTTTTTTTTTAGTAAAAACCATTATTACCTTCTTTTTTTCTATTATGAATTAAAGTACTTATTGTCTGATAAATTTACGCAATGTATATTTATATATTAATGGATTTTAAAAATATAAAGAAAATAAATATGTAACTAGAGAATTAAAATATATAAATGTAAAATCATGTCTAAAAATCACATTGATAATATTTTTACACTGTACATTCACACGCTTTGCTTGTACAATGTTTAGATTACAAACTGGCATGTTGACTGGTCGATGCGCTGATGGCATTTTACCACTTATCCTGATTGACAGTTCTGTTCAGCATGCTGATTGGTCGACGCGCTGATGAGTTAATCGCTAATCCTGATTGACAGCTCTGTTACGCAACACCGAACGCGCGTTCGCTTTCTGGGACCGCTACTGAATTTGGGGTTCGCTTTCAGCGTTCGCTCTGGGTTCGCTGCGGGTTCGGTACGGGTGCGCTCCGGGTTCGCTCGGGGTCAGCACTAGCGGACCCCAAGCGAACCCGAAGGGAACCCAGAGAGCGAACCCGGGGTGCGCTCTGGGTTCGCTTTCTGTTAGGTTGTGTCTGGTCGGTACTGTAAATATCTTCATCCATTTAAAACATAAAACAACTCAAATAAGATGTCTTCAAACAACTCTTCTTATGCACCTATCATGCATATACATTCCTTAACGTTTTCTCCTAGGCTCAATCTTTACACCCTTCTTACTACGCACCTTAAATGCACAATTTCCCATTGATATCAATTTTATAACTTCTTTCAGACCCTTGCCTTTCCATCTAGCCCCTAAAACCATCCCATTCCAACCCATATACATACCCAAGAATTTGTCAGAAAATTTTAAACTGGCACTACTTGCGTGCTCAATGAAATAGCGGGTACCATTAGTCGACTCTAACCCAGCAAGTCTTGTCTTGGGAATAAAACCAACTCCGAGCCCGATCTTAAAATCCTAGTAGAGAAATGACATTTTTGCTGTTTTATTTATTCTCGTGCTTTTTTCTCCTTTTTTCCAGCCCAAATCATATGGAAACGCTTAAAAAGGTGGAAAAGGTCTCTTATTGTTCACGGAACAATAGGTTTACTTGATATTATTAAGGTCTTCCGACTTCCTTCGGAAGACCTTATTGTTTTCCTTCTGTTTTCTATTATTAAGGTCTTCCGACTTCCTTCGGAAGACCTTATTGTTTTCCGTCTGTTTTCTATTATTATTATTATTATTCTTTTTTTCATAGTACAGGCCATATCTCAGCTATGCGTAGTTCAATTTGGAAGATTTTTTCAAGGAAGATGCATCATGAATATATCTCCAGGGGTGTCCCTCACTTTTTTGAAATTCACTTCCGTTCGCGATTTTTGGGGAAAATTGTATTTTTTAAATGGAATTTTGTCCGTTAATTTTCTCGAGAACGGCTAAAGATATGAAATTGAAACTCACTGACGTGGTAAAGCATCAAATGAAAATATGGTGATCGACCCTTTATTTTTCGTCGTTCGTACTTCCGGTCGCGAACGGAAGTGAATTCAAAAATGTTAAATTTGCAACTTTTTTGTTTTTCAATATTTTTCTTAGAAATTTACAGGGTTAATAGAGAGTCGTCTAGGAATTCTATGTATGTTTTCATCATTTTGATTGATGCATTTATTGCAAAGATATGACCGATCCAAACTTTCTCGTATGTTACGGGTTCGAATCCTGCTGGGGCGGGAGATTGTTTCTCTCTTTTTTCAGTTGTAAATAATATTTTTTCACGTGAAGACATGTATGATAGTTTTTGCTTATTTTTTAAAGCTTTGTTAACAGAGATTCTACAGAAATCCCTTAATAATTATGATCTATGTTAAAAGACTGTGTTACATAAGCGCAAACAAAAAATACCTGCAATAAAGTATTAAATGAAGTGAGATAGCATAGCTTTCTGGAGAAAAGTTCGGTCGGAAGACCACTTGTTGCCCTAGCAACAAGAAACGCATCTAGTTATTATTATTATTATTATGTGTTTTATTATCTCCAGTAGGTTAGATCAGTGACGTCATAATATGACGTCATAATGTGTTCTGGCTATAACATACCGTGGGTACTTAGTATGGATAAGAAAATAAATCAACACTTTCTCTGAATAATTAATATACCTCTTATGTTTTTTTATTAGCTCATTTGCATAGAAACGCCTATACCTAGCCTTAACTCACATGCGTAGTTTTGCTTTTCTTCACAAATTGCTTTGTAAAAATAGAACTTGAATAACTTATTAATTAATTAATTCATACATTCATTTATTCATTAAGTAATTTATTATTAATAATAATAATTTATCTAGATCTGTTCGATTAAACGGTTACTCGATCTAAATAAATCTGATCGTCATCATCACATGTAACACAGAAAACAGTTGAACTATCGAAGAAAACCAACCTTTAGTAACACTATTTTCAATATAAAAGGAAAAAAAAAGGTCACTTAAGTTTTGTAAGAATGCAGGATTAAATTTTACCGAGCTGACAGTTTCAATCTTGAAATCGTTCTGTTTTTAAACTTTCTTTTAATATTGTATTTTGATGATCTAGCTATTCCTTTTAGTGTACAACTTAAGACACCTATGCTTTTGACTACCAAGATGTATTCACTCCTGAGAACGATCCACAACTGTGGTGTCCAAATTTGACTTGTATTGTTAATACTGTAACAGTTCTTAGCATGTGTTACAAAATGCATGTAGTCTTACAATGTGAAAAGTTATCTTTCCGATTGCAAGGGACAATCTTCTGCTGGTATTTAAAGTTTCAAACAATTATATTCATAAGATATATAATATTCAGAAATATATTCAAGGGTGGTATAGATTCTAGAAGAGACAGAGAGGCCAAGCACAGGTTCTTCTTTAATCCAACTGACAGATTGAAGGATGTGATTCAATGTCACTGTTCTTCTTTGAGCACCTGAAATATCAGATGACAGCTACAGCTTTATGTAAAGCAACTTACACACAGTAGATAACATTAACTGCTATATATAAATTCTACGGATCTGGGAAACAGGAAATATCACAAAAATTGCACACATTTATACGTTACACAAAGGCAGATATAAGTGAACAGAGCTGTGATAGAGTCAAAAAACTTAACTGGGTTACATTCCAAAACCTTATAAATGTCATATTGTGTTACAGATACATTCCAATGCATTTCAAAACTCTCAAAGGTAATGGAACGACTGGAAATATCACATATCACTTCATACAGCTAGATCACAATGATGCAGCATCTGCATATAATGACATGACCACTGCAAAACAACTGCATATAATGATAAAACCACGTCATATTATATTAATACTACTGCACATATTTATTTAACCACTGCATAAAATGATTGAAACACTGTATATGATGATTAACCAACTGTATATTAAGATATAACCCATGACATATATTGATTTAACCACTGCAAAAATTTATAAATGATATAACCACTGCATGTAAATCTTATACGGTACAAATTTTCATGCACCAGATGCGCATTTCGACAAATTATGTCTCTTCAGTGATGCTCATGCCGAAACATTGGAAATCCAAAATATTTAAATAAAAAACTTTGAAGAGATGAAAGACGGGGTATATAGATATACAATGATATAACCACTGCATATGGCGAACAATAAGAACTGATCAAATAAGCCGGTCCGGAATAAGAAATGTGTTAAATTGAATGTTTTCAGCGGAAAACACAAAAAATCATGATGATTTTAAAGTTTATGATAATTTACATATAATGAAACCTTAAGGTAACTACGGCATTCCATATTTTCCATTTTAGGTTGCACAACAGTATTAAATTTTGCTATTTATTCTTACCAAAAATGCGTAACTTTGAGTAGGTGGTATTAATTGAAAACAAACTTTTGAGAAGTTTCCTTTTCAGATCTTGTAAAACAATTCTTTATAAAGATTTTAGTACCAAAAAATACATAGCCATCCAGCAAGGCACGCAAGTTTGTCTCGCTCGAAGTCGAGCAGGTGCTTGAAAATCAAGTCCAGGACCTAATCACTCCCCACTCAAATACAGTATATAGAAAATTCAGCACGCCCTAAAATTTTAATGAATCTAGTCAATATAGGAAGTTTACATATTGTTTTTCATCTCCTAAAAAAATTCAGCTCCAGTCTCGTGTTAAAATGCCCGAATCGGAAGGGAAGATGCAGGAATTATTTTGCGTCAGCCATGATTTGACGTGAACCTCAAGTGAAATACTGTTATGACACCTGCATAGTGTCAGACAGAACCCATTTCACAGAGAAGTATTTGTCTTCTAGCACATTAAAAGAAATAAGGCGACTGATGTAGGATAAAAAACTGGTAAGTTTTGGATATTATGATCCTACTTATGTTGTAGTATTTTAAAACTGTGCTACCTATAAAAAATACGCATTTTGCACATCTCATGATTGCTGATTTTAATTCCTATGCAGGCGCAATAACTCTTGCATCTTCGTTCACTAAAAAAGTATGAGAGCCCAAAGCATTTTCTTTCCAGAAAAAATCTAAAAAAATAAGCTTCTCTATATTGTAATGTGTAAAACTTCATGTCTTGAATGACCTGAGCATCAGGGGGATTGATTTGGAGAAGCCTGGGACTCTATGACCTGGATTTACTCCTTTATTTATTCAAAAGCTTTAAATCTCTTTGTTTCGAAAATAAAACAACAAACAATTAAACAAATAAACGAAGATTGTTAAAAATATTCTCACATATCCAACGAAAAAATATCCCTGTGTTTGATCGTAATTTTGCCCAATGATTCAAACAAGAGATGAAAAATCGTGAACAAGCATTCAAATCTCCCGCCATTTCATTTGCTTGCTCAGGCCCTTATCGTGTCGTAAGAAGTGACGTAAGGATTGATTTGAAAGTTTACGCTCTGCCCACCAGTCATACAAAGACGTGTATTAAATAGGAGTAAAACATATTTTCATAATTACGCATTGTGACAAACTCTGTTGTAAAATAAAGCACATTTGCATCTAAAGACAGTTTTTTCATAAAATGTACGCAGCGAAAGATCACACATTTAAAACCCTAATACGAATAATGCACTTTTTGAAAATTCACACATTTAAAATATAGCGTGTGTTCAAAAGTCACCAGTTGGACCAGTGATTACTAATTTTGGATCGACATTATCTAATGGTCTAGAATTGCAATCATGGAGAATCGTTGGGGAGAAAAAAGGTCATGATCAGACGACGTTAGACGTATTATTTAAGGAGCACAAAACTTTTCTATTGTGCATAAAGTATATATTATCAGAATAATTGTCTTAAGGTTGGGTACCTATCTCTCTCCCCCCCCCCCCCTCTTGAGCTGCGATTTCAGAACATTTTCGTAGATTACTGGACGGAGCTTAACTTTCAAAGACAAGCAAATCAAAAACAATCATTACGTCACTCGCTAAGACACAAACCAGCAATCTCCAAGTCTTTGTAATATTTCACAACACTGTGGTACCATTGTTCTCGATCAGATGAGGAGTAGATTTTCCAAAAAAAAAAAAATCCCTTTACATTAACGGGAATTAATGTAATCAAATATAATAAGCATTGTTTTTTATTTCAGCTTGCTTAAGCAGAGATCAAGTAAACGTCATGATCAATTTGTCTCTGAATATACAGACCGTGCTCGCTGGTCTAAGCATGGGTCTTTTTGTGTATTACGTCATCAAACGAATACGATATCGTTTTCCACCAGGACCATGGTGCATCCCGCTTATGGGTCATTATAAAAGTAAATGTTTAACTCAAATTTTTACAATGTCCTTATGGAGGCATTTTTTATTTAAATTTTAGGTCGATAAAAAGAGCTCTGGTGATTACTTAGGAAGTTAAGAAGGCTGGGGTCAACAAATTAACCATCAGATATAATTTATTTTTTTAGATATGATATCTTAAGCTGTCAACTATCATTTGGCAAAGAAAAAATTCATACATTTTAGTTTTAAAATTTGATCATTTTTGTATATCTTTATATGGAGCTCATCTTCTAAAGGAGATCAATATAGTCTAAAATTGGCCACGACCACCCAGCCTTCCTTAAATGTAAAAAAAAAAATTTCCTTGAATGCTTTTTGCAAACTTTATCAACAATATCAACAGACAAATTTTTCCTTCGATAATAATTTCAAATTGGAAAATAAATCTTCACGCAAACAGCAAAATTTATTTTGCAAAGAATGAGAATGAAAAGGTGTCACTTAATTGTCGCAGTAAAAAAAAGAATTCAGAGAATAATGCATGGAGACTAAAACCTTTCATGAATGAATAACTCATTATTATTTTTATATTTGATCCATAAGTAAATGTATACATCTGTATATTTTTATAACCATTGGCAGTATATACCTCTTTTGATATACCCAAGAAAGTTGAGGAGCTCTCGAAGGAATACGGTCCAGTTGTACGTCTATCATTTGGTGAGTTTTGATTTAATCTGAGTAATAGTCCCTGAATATTTAATCATTCAAACATGCATGTTCATAAATGTGTCGAAGAGATCGCAAATTAACAGGGAAATACGGAGTGAAGCTGTCCGAGTTTAAGGTCCTTCTTATAACACCGAACATCTGTTTCAATATGCACTAATCAATATGCACTAATATAAACCATTTCTAGATATTGAAATGTTATTTATAGTATTTAAAAAAAAATATTCATAAGATTTTTTTTCCACAGAGTAGCTCAACAATTTTTGATATGCCACAGTTCAAGTTAGCTACTGTTATTAATTATTATTATTCTTTGACTATCAAGTTAAAATATAATCTAATAGATTGTAATGTATGTTTATTTAAAAAAAAAAACCTAGGTTTTATTGATAAACCTTTGCTAATGTTCACTTTGTGATAAATTGTTTAAAAGGTCCCCAATCTTGGATTTTTCTGAATAATAACGATGTTGTGATAGAGGCATTGATAAAAAGGAAGGCAGACTTTGCCGGAAGACCGCATTTTACATCAGGTGAATACGAGGGTCGTTCAGTAAGTGTTACAAAAGTTCATAAAAAATAAGAAAGTACAAAAAGCAATTTCTTTATATCTCTAATCCTTCAAAGTATTCCCTATTAACCCTTACATGTCTCAAGCCTCTTTACCCATAACCAGAACACCTCAGAGTACTCTTTTTGGGGGTAACTCAAAAGACACTGATGGAATGCACTCCCACGACAGATCTAAAATAGTAGCGTCTCCCTTTGATGTTTTTTTTTTTGAGTTTTTGGAATGAAAAAAAAAATGTCACAATGACTGAGATCTAGCGAATACGAAGGGAAGGCTAAGCTCTGTAAACGTTTTTTCCTGCAAAATTCCCTTTACATCTCTATGCTTGTTTGCAGCAACGTTGTTCAGGTACAAAAATCAGTTTGGGTACTGGTATTTGGACTTCCCTTACAGAAAACCTGCTTATTTTCCTCAATACAGTTTTAACATAAAAGCTTCCATTGATTTTCCTTTCTTTGGATGTAGGTACATGTTTTACTGAACATCTCGAGTTAAAAAGAGTGTGAGGCCTGCTTAGAGCTATTGCTTCTCTTGGGCAATAATAGATCGACTGCTTCCTCTCTGATTCCATATTTTCTTATTGACCTCTTGTTTGGGCTATAAACAGTGCACCCATTTTTCTTCCTCTGTCAAGCGGGTTTACCAAGCCTTCTTTTGTTACAATGATTATATTCTAATAGACTCATGGCACATTTAACCCGTGTTTTCTTGTGGACAACTATATAATAATGCACTCATTTACTAGAAATATATTTTAAGTTTCATTTCTTTTGTAAGAACTCAATCAATTGTTGTGGTGTCTTAGCAATGTCTTTCACTATAAATCTGCCATTTATATAATGTTACTCACAGCTTCGATATGTCTAGTGTCTCTAATTAAAGATATCAATCGACCAGTTCGACTGCGATCAAGTACCCCTTTCCTCTTTTAAATTTTCTAATTCACCTGAACACCTTGAAAGACTAGTCTTTCCAGATAGCAAAACCATACCTTCATTTGATTTCATCAGCGATTTTTGTTAAGAAGTGCCCTTATTCTCATCTTCTTGGCAGAGACAATTTTTTAAACAGTCTTAAGCTCAATAAGTGACCTTACTTACTTTAAAAGTGAATATTTTTGAGAAGACAATAGGAAAAATATGCGGATTTTGGTGATTAAAAGTTCTTCAATAGAACATTTCGAGTCTGAAAATATAAAATTAACAGCATCTACATTTATTATGGTACCGTATATTGTATTACTTATTGAACGACCCTCGTAGAATATAACATATAATGAAAATGTAAATCTATCATTTTACTAAAAGAGGAGAAAATGTATTTTTGATATAAATATATTTCACAATGAGATCTTAAATAAGAATATCTTTAAAGATTACTTATCAATATGTGGAAAATATATTTATAGGTGATGTTTTTACTGAAGGAGGAAAAGACATAGCGTTAAGTACTTACTCACCAACCTGGAAATTCCATAGGAAAATAGCGGGCAAAGCTCTCAGGTGCGTCTTAAGGGAGATAAAAAAGGAAGCAGTTAAAAATAACATCAACAAACGTAGAGAGACTCTTTAAACTTAATAGACTGGCAATTCATATCTAACTTAAGATTAATTTTTCAGACATTATTTGCAAGGAGATCTACTCGAAAACATGATACAAGACAACATGGAAGAATTTCTCAATAAAATGGCACAGGAGAAAGAACCATTCATTTTCAAAACATATGCAGATCTGATGGTTTTTCATCAACTCTACACTATTTGTTTTGGAGAAAAGTACGTCGATGTAATTTTTTCCCTCTAAAACTAAGATTTTAGCGTATTTGTCTTTGTTTATATTGCAGCGTTTCAGAGTTTTCTCATTTTGTATAATAATTGTGTAGCGAAAAAATCCAGTGTCAATAAATATTTCCCTAGACTAACCCGTGTATACTTAATATCCCATAAGTTCCTCCTCTTTGTAATGAGACGCAATAACGGGTTATAAATATTTATGAAATCAAAAGTAAAATTAAATATAATTCAAAACAATCAAAACAAAGTAAATCCAAAATATGATTGAATAAAAGACACTAAAACCGTAATCACTTAGTTTTAGGATCCAAGTAAATAAAAAATAACGCATAAAAACGCAGCAAATTACACATGCTTTCCAAAGAACCAAATCCAATAACTAAATCACCAATCTCCCATAATTATTAAATTAAGACGTTATATACTCAATTGACCTCTCTGTCTCCTCCTAATACTCCCGCTAAAGTGAACCAAGGTCAGATTATAAATGATAACACAATAAATCACTATGTACTTCTCCCCATATTGATAAGAATCTAAGAATCTTCACTTAGCCTAGTTAAGTAGTTTCCCATCACCTGTTCACAGTCATGGCAAAAGAACTCTAAAGAATGTAAACGAAACATTAAGATCATAATTAGACCAAACCCTCAAAATAAGAACATGTAAATGGTATGATAAAACGTATCGAAGAGAAAATAATACTTATGCTACAATATAGTAGTAGGACCATGGGGAAAGTAGAAAAAAATTCTTGCATTGGCAAGTATTATTAATTCCCTTAAAAATTAAATTATTCTTCTTTGGTTTGGAAATAACTTCCTTCAAAACGTCATTTCAGTATTACATGTATTTCATTATTATTGTTAAAAAGAGATATTCCATACTTTTGAGGAAATGCAGCTTTTGCAACGTTGTCTTGCAGATAGATATTAGATGGATAGACAAACGTATTTAAACAGATCTACACTGACAAATATGGAAGAAAATATCTCTTTTCAATTTTTATATGGGATATTGAAAGGAATATTAACATGTTTACAAATCTTCTACCTGAAATGATTTCTCCACTACTATTTTGAGTTAAAATAGGTTGATTTACAATAGACAATGCCTGAGGCCGCCATTAAAAATATCTTTGTTTCCCCTAACCCGACCCCAAAATCTCAAGTTGGGTAGATAGGAAGGTAAATAATTTTTTTCTGACAGCAGCTTTGAAAATACACTCTGAAATTCAATGGAATAATACCTTTATAAACTAGAAAAATACATATGAAAGCGATTTGTATACAAAATATCATACAAATGCCGTTTAAAAGCAAAATTAAGTCACAACTTTTAATCAATTGAACTTGTGAAATATCTCACACCAGTGTATTTATTGAAATCGAATATTTGAAAAGACAAGATTCTCAGATACGCAAAGTCCAGATATCTGAGTATATTTTTTCAAACCTACTATCAGCTTCTAGTTCTTGCACATACAACGTACTTTATTTCAAGGGCCTTGAGTTGTGCAGTGGTTCTAGAACAGTTCGTTTTGGAGTCCCGAAGTAAGGAGCTAATTTTAAGTCGCAGGTTAAAATCCCAAAGAGGGACGTCCTTCAATCGGGACCGTAAAAACTTAGGTACAGTGTCGCAGTAGATGCTGGCACAAAAAAAGATTTCTCACTGCTCAGTGGCCAAAAGTACCGAGTACAAATCTAAATTTGAAATCTACATGTATATTATTATCTTGTCTTATCTTATATTATCTTATTATCTAAATTTGGAGCCCTTCACCAGGTAAATGTTCAAATGTTGTTGTCCCATCAAATTTCAAAGGTATTTAAGGCAAAGAAACAACCAATCTTAAGGGACTAATTTAAGAAAAATACACTGGACATCTCAGGAAGCTGTATCATTGATTTCAAAACTATTTGGAAAGATTATTAAACAATATTTAATTGATGCAAACCATATCGAAAAACGATAAAAATGCCATACACAATATCATAGTCACGAAGTTTAACCCATGAATAAAAGGCATGAAGATATCATAGTCACGAAGTTTAACCCATGAATAAAAGGCATGAAGAAAGTACATCTGATTTTAGGTTTGTAAATACCACCGAAACACTCTTAATTAGTCATGGTACATTTTATGAACAAAATGTTTCAAGAGTGATAGGATTCTAATAAGCTTAACTCATAGGTTGGTACGTCGTCGTTGCTTTTTTTTTTTTTTTTTTAGCACGAACTAACCCTCTGTGACCATTGTGTTATACATGTAACAGGAACTAACCCTCTGTGACCATTGTGTTATACATGTAACAGGAACTAACTCTCTGTGACCATTGTGTTATACATGTAACAGGAACTAACCCTCTGTGACCATTGTGTTATACATGTAACAGGAACTAACCCTCTGTGACCATTGTGTTATACATGTAACAGGAACTAACCCTCTGTGACCGTTGTTTCATAACAAGAACTACCTCTTTGACCACATGTTGTGGATGCCACTTTGTATCCAACAAACGCTTGAAAATCACAGTAGAACAATGTCGACCGTTCTGAAAAAACGGGTTTTGATGAAATTGTATTTTATAAAAGTTGATAAACATTAAAAAAAATCGGCGAGATTTATTAGGGTCGGTCGCGTTAGGGAAAAAAGCTATTTTTTATTTAGGCCTAATGCATCTGCTTTATATATACATTTCTTCTCGGCAGCCAAGTGTAAAAAAAAAACCCTGAAGTTTAAGTCTATTTAAATTGATACAAAGAACATTGGAGAAATGTTTGGGTTTTTTTTTTACATTACTGTGGATGAATGCTTTTGTATGTTCCTATATTAAGCTAATGCAATATTTTTTTCTCTTTTTAATCAACTTTTGAACAGACGACCTATCGATGATCAAGAAGTGAAAGATTTCCTTAAATTAGAGAACGACTTCATAGAATTTTTTGGGACTGGTCTCTTAGAGGATATAGTCCCATATCTGAAAGATATCTACCCCACAGCTAAATGGAAGAAATTAATTAGAATGACGGATGAAATTCTACATGTACTTCGAACCAAATTCAAACAACACGTGGATACTTTCAAACCAGGTAATAAACGAGGGTTGTCCATAAAATCCGTAGCCAATCTAAGTGCTATAATTTTCTAAAAAGAATGACATACTATCAAAAGTGCTCGGTAATAATTTAACATAGACCATAATTTGACACATGTATGAAAATTTAACAATACACAATTTTTTACGAAGATTAAAGGTGTAAAAACTTTGGATATACAAGCTGCATGGCCCAGTCTGACGTAAAGCTATTTGCATGATAAAGTAAAAATATGAATTTTGAATTTTTATCGCATATTCGTGGACACACGTTATTTTTTCTTTATTATGCCACATTGCCAAGTATATATATTTATATATTATGATAATATACGAAAGTATTAATATTTATATATGGACCATTACTGAGTAAATTTTTAACGTTGAAAACAATTCATATAAAAAAAATTTACGAGCGTCATCAGTATAAAAACTTTGTATTTACACAGACTACACAGTCCAGTATGATTTTTCGCTAAATTTACAACAACGTCATGAATAGGAATATTCTATTTTCATCAAATAACAGTGTTTTTCAACTTCTTGTAATGCCTTCTTAATCGTACACACCTTTGAAAAATCGTATATACCAATTTCAAATTGATGAATGAAATATATTCCAATATTTTCTAGTTGTTTGAATAATTATTTTGTGTCTGACTTCGTTACTACAGTATTAAAATATAATTTTATGATTGGACGCTTTTCAGTTGGAATGGCCGAAAAACAGGACAGGGAACCAGGCTAATCCTTTTCCTGTCAATTTTTGAAAAATATTTCAAGCCGTTTTCTCTCAATATTTTCACTATTTGTCCAAAAGGCGGTAATAAAGATATGAGAAAAGGGCGACAGCCGCTTTATTTTCGAAACATTTAAATTTTGTCAAGCTTTGACTTGTTTTATGGAGAAAATAATCATTTTATTTCGAAAGCTTTCAAAGTTTTTGGCATTTTAACCCTGGGCAGTGCACACTATATGAAACCAAACTATTCTGTCTTTGATTTTCATAATGAATATTTTTTTCTATACAAAAAGTACATCTATAATAATTTACTTTGACAAAAATCGACATTTGTCCATTTGTCCATGAACTTTATGAACAACCCTCGTATGCTACATAATAGTGTATCTATCTATCTATCTATCTATCTATCTATCTATCTATCTATCTATCTATCTATCTATCTATCTATCTATCTATCTATCTATCTATCTATCTATCTATCTATCTATCTATCTATCTATCTATCTATCTATCTATCTATCTATCTATCTATCTATCTATCTATCTATCTATCTATCTATCTATCTATCTATCTATCTATCTATCTATCTATCTATCTATCTATCTATCTATCTATCTATCTATCTATCTATCTATCTATCTATCTATCTATCTATCTATCTATCTATCTATCTATCTATCTATCTATCTATCTATCTATCTATCTATCTATCTATCTATCTATCTATCTATCTATCTATCTATCTATCTATCTATCTATCTATCTATCTATCTATCTATCTATCTATCTATCTATCTATCTATCTATCTATCTATCTATCTATCTATCTATCTATCTATCTATCTATCTATCTATCTATCTATCTATCTATCTATCTATCTATCTATCTATCTATCTATCTATCTATCTATCTATCTATCTATCTATCTATCTATCTATCTATCTATCTATCTATCTATCTATCTATCTTAGTGTGGGTGCGTGAGCGCATGTGTTTTTCAATTTTTGAAATAATGGAATAAGAAATATGGTGTTTGTCTCTTAACTGATTCGATACGCAAGAGCATGCTCTCAGTACAATCATATTTTAAAATGAGGCAAGCTATAACAAATACGTTGATGTTACAAGGATTGCAACAACCCCGTTTAAAGTCAGCGTCAGCTTTTCACCATTTCTATGGTCATTATACTGACCTTGTATGTAAATAAAACCTATCGTTGGATCGTAGTCAGCTGTGTTTCATACTATTTGTTAGGTCATAGCTTTATACTAAATTTAACTATAGATTACACCGTCTACCCGATCAATACATAGAGCTCACGACTGGCCTGACCGGTAGACAGGGGATGCCTGCTCCTCCTAGGCAACTGATCCCATCTCTGGTGTTTCCAGGGTTGCGTGTTTTTGCCCTGTTCACAATTCCCTTTGGTCACTGGATTTATAAGATTTATCATTGTTCGTTATTTTTATCTTTGACATGGACACAAATCATGCAGATTTTTCGTTGTACATAAATGCGTCTTCTTTGTAATTATTGCAGATTTTAACAGGGACTTTATCGACAGTTTGCTTATGGCCAGACAGGAAGCAGAGAATGAGGGAGATGAGTCAGCCATGGAAAAGTTGGAAGATACATACTTAATTCAGACTCTATCAAATATATTTCTCGGTAGGTAAAACTCAGCTAGTCTTTCTGTGGGTAAGGGAGAATAAAGACATTTCTAACATCATGATATCTTTTTTCTGATAGTTTTTTTTAATTTGTGTACAGAAGCAGAAGAAAAAAGTGAACCTCAAAAAAAAATTAATTTAGAATACAAAATAAAAAATTAAGAACTATAAAAATTGTCACCGTTTTTTGTCATATTTCATATGAAAAAAGATCCTGTAAAAAATATAATGGGTCAAAAAATAATTTAATCAGAAAGTTTTAATGATAGATCTTATTCTTTACTAAATTTTTTAACAGCCGGAGTTGATACCACTAGATTCACAATGGATTGGTTTGTATATTTCATGACCAGATTTCCGGAAATTCAGACCAAATGTCAAGAGGAAATAGACAGGGTTATTGGTAAAACAAAAACAACTTCAAACAAAAAGTATTTATTTAAAGCTTTTTGGTTTTGGCATGTGGTGATTTACGTTCAGTTAGAAATCTTGAATTGTTTTAAAATTGAGTTTTTCACAACCACAGGTTCTAGACACCCATCAATGAAGGACCGTAACAATTTGGACTATACAGAGGCCTGTTTGTTTGAAACTTTGAGGCTTGGGAACGTTACAGGACTTGGTGTCCCACATATGACTATTTGTGATACACAAGTCGGTAAGGGATTTGGACATTCGTCTGACCAGATTTCAAAGGAAAAGTTTTCTGTTTTGTAAGCTGTCCGTCCCTCTTCGTTCCGTTGTAAGTGATGTCTTGATATCTGTTGAGTCAGTTGTTCGACAATTAAAATTTCCGCCTTTTTTTCTGAAAAAATAATCATGTTATGTCCGCTCTCACGAAGTATCTTTTCCAAATTCCTTTTTTTGACCGGTCGGCAGGGGATGCTCACTCCTCCATGGCACCTGATCCCACCTCTGATGTTTTTGGAGGTCCGTGTTTGCTCTGCTGACGATTTGTATTGTTTTAATGGACATTGATCTTGATTACTGTTCGTTATATCCATATTTCATGCAAAAACTCATAATAGGATTTCAATGCCATAAATCCATAAATGAGGCTGAATGCTGTGTGTCATCCATCTCTCGAAGTTTGTGAATTACATATTTTTTTGCTTTGTAATTCGTGAGAACACTGTATTAATGTCAAATATCAAATATGTCCTTTATTCGATCGCAGGGGCATTTTAGCATTTCAACCGGCTATTATCAGCTTGCTGAAACTGGATGTTGACTGAGAAACTGCCACATTTTATTTACGTGTAAAAATTTAGTACTTTTTCTCAACCCCTGTTGAGACAACGCAAATATTAAATAAAACAAATAAAATAAAACGAACATTTTTTCACGACAGATAAACATCAGTGGTAATGATTTTGAAAATTCTAGTCTTTTGAATCTGTAGGATCTGTTGGTTAAGCCTTGATCCCTTTAAACACGCGAAGAAAAACGGGACAGGGAACCAGGCTAGTCCGCTTATTTACTTCCGGTGGTGTCAGTTAATTCCGATGCTGATTCACTCGGACCATGATATAACTATAAATTAAATGCCTCATTCACAAAGTAAATTTTTATATAAATATAAAAATATATAAAAAATATTACATGGCATCAACGAAATTTTTTTATTGAGCCCATGAATAATTTGATTCTCTCTCGCACATGCAGATAGGTATGCAAAATTATTATTACGTCAATATTGCTTCATGATCTCTTATCAATTAATGGCAAAGAAAGAAAATCAATATCTAAATATTCGAAAATTTAATTATTCTCTCTCTCTCTCTCTCTCTCTCTCTCTCTCTCTCTCTCTCTCTCTCTCTCTCTCTGACACACACATATTATTTCGTTTATTATTTAACAGGAGGATATGACATTCCAAAAGGCACTACAGTTATAATTAACCTCAGGGCTCTCCATCGTGACACAAAGTACTGGAAGGACCCTGAAAAATTTGATCCTTACCGTTTCCTTGACGAAAAGAGTAAAATGAAAACAGTCAAACCGGAAAGCTGGCTTCCATTCTCCGCTGGCCGCCGAGTTTGTCTGGGGGAAACAGTCGCCAAACCGGAACTCCTGTTGATGTGTGTAAATCTTCTACAGCGGTTTGATCTTCGTCTACCAGACGGTGTTCAACCAAATCCGGAGTACAAGGCGATAGAATTTGCTGTAGAAATCCCATCTGATTATAAAATCATTGTAAAGGAGAGAATCAGAAATTGAAGTTTTGACATTCTCATCATGTAATAAATAGAGAGATCTATAAATATGCTAACAACAATTTTGAATATCCTAACAGTTAGATGCATTTATTTAGTCGTTTTTTTTTTTATTTATCCAAATCTTTTGGTCTATATTTATAAAAGGAGATATTTGTCTTTTCTGTATTTTGTTTTTAATCAGTTTTCGTGCTTTAATAACACTTATGAATGTAGATATATTTAATCAGAATAAAAGTTCAGTGTGGTGACGTTTTATGTTATGTGTGAGGTCATGCTGTACTTGTGACATGAAATGAGTGTTGCTCCTACAGGTTTGATACCTTTCGACAAAAATGTAAATAATTGCTCACAAATAAGAGTTTCAATCTTCCATGATGATAAATAATATTTGATACAAAACCCTTGTTTCTAAAACAAAGAAATTACTGGTATATGATTTTTGTCTTAATTTTCCCGCAGCTTAAAGAATTCTTACTGAAATCAATCCTATATGGAGTAATCTCCTTTTTAAAAATCAAAATTAAAAGCTAAAGAAAAGATACGATGGATTGATGTATTCTTTTTCAGAGAAGGAAAGTGTCAAAATAATAAAATAGAAACAAAAGGAATAAAATATATTAATATTTTTTTAATCATTACTAGTAAACTTGGGGGAAGGGGGGGGGGGAGATAAGAGTTTTATTAAAAAGCTTAACTTGACGATTATCACGTGTATCATCTATAAGTAAGGAAAAATACCATACAAAACGAATGTTCTGGTAATGTGCATCTCCAGATGCAAGAGCTATGCAAGATTGGCCGTGGCATGATTTACAGTAAGTTTGGAATATTTACATCCACTGAAAATTATTTCTTTTATTTCTTATAAAGACCATTGCCGTTAATCTGTCCATAAACGACACTAAGCAAGCCACCTGAATAGATTTCTTAAAGTGACAGTACGGCGCATCTCATCAAAAAACTGACTAGATAAAATTTTCCGACAAGATTTGGAATTTTTTTACTACTCATAAATGTATAAACTTTCAGAAAATTACAACTTTTGCAATTAAATAATTTGGATTATTTCACTAAAATTAATAGTTATTTATGGGACGTAAATATATACATCGCAACGTGTTCGGGGTTCCACATTCCATGCTATGCACGCATGCGTAGTTTTCATAAACAAAACAGCATGGTTAGAGAGGGAATCCCGGTAGGCCTGCTACATTGACCAAGTCGACCAAAAAGAAAAAGAAACTGAAAATAGAACTTGAAAAAGCAACTTTCATGACTAAAATTTAGTTTGGGGATTAATAAAATCGCTGGATAAGGAAGAAACGGGAACTCGGCGACACTCACGCAGGGCTCTCGAAGGTTCTATTCGACAGGTTTGTTGATACTTGTTATCATTTCTCATTTTTCCGTCGCTTTCAAAGAAAAAAAATAGTGTAAACTTAACATTAAAAATACATCTTTGACTTATAAACATTGTTGCAATTTGAAATGCTAATTTTTTTTTTAACTGTGCAGAAAAATATTTTGTTTGACATTTGCCGCGATAACGTATGATTAGTTGGTTTTCCCTTTCTCGGACCCCAATACACAAAACGTAAACATTTGTACTTTTAATTCTGTTAAATTCGACTGAATGCAGACTAAAATCTTTACGATTATTATTTTAGATTATTTTATCAGAAAGTTACGATAATTTGTGTTTTTGAAAATTACTTTCACCTAATATTCATCATAACTGTAAACTCTACAGTGTAGGCACGTGCCGTTTTAGAATTCACGTGGTACAAATAAACAGATCTAAGATTGCTCCAGTTCGTACGACCCTTGATTTTCCGGCAGATTCTAATTACGCTAATTTTGTTTGAGTAGAGAATATTTCTGTTTCTCAAACTGCTTACATCAACTTTATACCTTATTTCTTAATGACATATTGGGTAAATTTGGATGAAATAGCACACATTTTGCAGCCGTACTGTCGCTTTAAGCAACGGTTGTTCCATCGATTATGCATACAATGACATACACCTCTATAATACTATAACAATATTTCACATATTTGATTTACTTTGAATGTTTTTTTAAAGATATAAATATAAACAATAAAATGTCTTTCTTTGTTTGTTAGTACAGGAATTAACGTCGCAGCTATTGCAGAAAAATTCACATAACCCGCTTACACGGGTTATGTATTTTTTCTGCAACAGCTGTGACATTAATTCCCGTACTAACAACCAAAGAAAGCATTTTATTGTTTAAATGAAACTGCTCCAAAAAACCATTGATCAATCAGCCGGGAAATGTTAATTAAATCCAGCATGGGAAGCATTTCTGGTAGTGTGATTTCCTATATGTATCACCTATGCAATGAAAAAGGTGAAGAAAACGAACAGTGATCGATCTTTAAAAAACCCTGCAATGAATAGGGCATAAATTACGAAACCTCGGAAATTCCACAGGTGGGATCAGGTGCCAAGGAGGAGTGAGCATCCCCTGACGACCGGTCACACTCTCCGTGAGCCCTATGTATTGATTAGGTAGACGGAATATTCTGTAGTCAAATTAAGTATAAAAACTAAGGCCTAACATTGGTGTAAAATATTTCAGTCAAAATACTACCTACTGATAAGTTGTATGTCATGCATTTTCCGACTGTTTGATAAAATTAATTAGGTATTGAAGATACTTGGAAATGACCTGCTTCAAAAATGTTAACAACTTCACTCACCCGGTAAAGTGTAGGTCAGATCCAGCATCCATCCACAGCAAGATGGCTCATCCATTCAGATTTAGGACTTATTGTTACTTGGGAATGAACTTGTTCCAAAAACTAATCACTTTGCTCATTCGGGACATAAAAGCCTCAGGAAAACATCTGTTTAAATGTGATATTCCCTTATATAATTAGTTTCCTTGTTGTATAGCTCCTTACGAATAATGCATTGCATGTTTCAGTAATAATTTTGGTGTACCAATATTACAAATAATCTGGTCTGTTTTCCAGACCGATTCCAACCAACTATCGTCCAAGTCTTTGATGTAATTATAAGATGCAATATTTTAAAATAAAGTTTACAGTTAACAATCATCTAACATATGAGGAAAAATCCAATTTCTGTACCCTTCATTGAAGAAAAAAAATCTTATTTTACTGCTTTTATACAGAATTTGAAAATGTTTTGTTTGGTTGAGGGTGGGTCGGTGGGGGATGGGAGGGGTTGTCATAATTTTATAGAATGTTAATCTTCAGCATTCAGTAATGGTACACTGTATTCATCATTACAAAAATGATATTTAAGTTAGGAGATCGATGATCTCACTGAAATCAAATCATTCTTTTGTGATGAAGATCAAAGCCAACATACAATGAGTTATTAAAATGGCTCCATCCTAAGTTATCTTGACATGAAATCTAAAAATGATGGGTCACCCAGACCAGAGGTTAACACAGGTTAACACAGATTGTATACCAATTCAAAAGTCATGCTTAAAGTCAATGACGTCACCAATTCATAATATTAATTTTCAAAACATATTTTTCATGATTAAAGAAATTCTCACATTATTCAGTTATATTAATTTTTAGGACGGCGAAAGGTCTAAGTGCTAGGAAAATCGTACCTTTAATTCCTTAATTATCTTTAATTTATTAATTTGCTTTAAAAAGGAAGTTCTTATTCTCAAGAACGGCTAGATCATGAATAGTGATATAAATATGCAAAGAGTCTATGGTAGTACAAATTCAAATTTGTTCATTTGTGACCCCCACTCGGGGGGGGGGGGGTTAGAGTCAGGCCACATAATTTTTCTTGATATGTATGAGAAAGAGCTTTTAAAATATTCATTTCAAGGACAGCTTAACGATTATTAGTCATATAAATAAGCAGTTATTAATGTACAAACATCCTCAGGTAGTGTAGATTAAAGTCGTGGCCCCTGGGTATGTTGGGACCCAAGAAGTGAACAAAGTTTTACATAGAAATTTGGACGGAATTACCTATTAAGAAAAATCTTTTCTAGAGTATCAGAGTCACAATTAATATGCCAACATTCCCAAGTTGCGAGGACTTAACTTTTTTCCTCATTTTTTTTACCCTGGAACTAGGCTGGGGCTAAAATCGGTGATCAGATTTTACATAGTTACATTGTAATGCATGTATACAAGAAAGAGGAAAGTCATTTTGGTATTGAAGCACCCTTAAGTTGTGAAGATTTAAGTCTGGGTATGTCATGACCCATGACCACTAAGGAATAGGATGAAGCAACAATATGCCGTAATTTTTTTTCATGCGAATAGAGAAGGGATAACAGTTCTGTAGAACAGCAGGGCCAAGCTAAAGTCAGTGTTATGACCCATGGACCTCTTGTATTATAAATTGTATTAAAGTTGCAATTTTTTTTTTATGAAACTGGTATTGTCTGTATGTTTGCATATACATGTATCCGTTAGATAAAAATATCTTACATGTTTGTTTATTTGTTTACATGTAATTACCTTTTTCTTCTCAAACGTGTTGACGATTCTGAAAAAGCCTGAGATCACTAGAGGAAGAGAAAAATCAAACAAATTAAACTTAAGTTGGACTACCTCGACAGCTCTTTCCGTATGGAATCATGGTAACGCTTGACCATGAATACTACAACCTTTTCACATAAATTTGCAGGTATGAATTAGATTGAAACTTAAATTGTCTCTACGACTCGAAAGTGTTGTCCTTATATTTTCTTGTCAAAAAGATGTCACATTTGAACATTTGCTGTCTTTCAATATTAATAAATATTCATGAAATCTTTGTATATGCTCGTATGATGTTTGAGTCTGGGCATACGGGAAAGTCGGGTGGAATAAGTGATAGTTTTTGGATAAATACAGTTTTTAAGGAATCTGATTCTTAATATGTCTTTAAAACCTCCTCAAATACATGTATATCACATGTAAAATTCATACTTTTTTCAACTTTAATACTATCCAAATAAACGAATTTAAGGCAATTTCTTTATCAAATGTGTACTCTTCTATTCAGTGGATATGTCTTTATACATTTTTTCATTACCTGCATTCTGTATCCAAACCAGGCCCGTAGCAACGGTTTCAAAAAGGGGGGGGGGGTGGACTTCCCAAAAAGGTCTTACAAGCAAAATAAAAAAAGCTAATTTACTGTCCAAATCCTGGAATTTGCCAGTGCTCGACCTTACAACATCATAAAAGGGGGGGGGGGGTCAACCAGCATCTAAAGGAAAATTTACTATAAAAGCAAAATACTAAACTTGGAAAAAAAGTCTGGGAGGGGACCCCCCCCCCCCCCGTTCCCCTGCGTTCAACGTACGGACCTGCAAACGCCTGGTGATGTTAACAAATAAATATGATTGCATTTGTAAACACGAAAGATTAATTTATTATACTTTAATTAATTTCTATTCTTTTCAAAAACTTTTTATTTTCATGAATTGTTAATGATGCTCATACATTGTATCATATTATACTCGCATTTGGTATTATCAACCTCTCTATAGACATTACCTTTGATTTATTGAAAAAAAATTATATATCAAAACATAGATTTGAAAGATTACATGTATTTGTACGCATGTCTGTAAATGAAATAGTCTCATCCACGTCACAGTTTTTAGTAATTTCAACTTCTTCTTAAGAACCTCTGGGTCAGTTTTAACTAAATTTGTCACAGCATCCGTGGATGAAGGGGATTCAATGGGCCACACCCTCTTAAAAGGGAAAACAATTTTAAAAAATGGAAAAAATCTTCTCAAGAACCACTTAGCCTGAAAAAAAAAGAAACTTAAGTTGTATAAAAACTTTATTACGTAATGTAGATTCATGTTTGTTCACATCATGGCCCCGGGGTAGGGCGAGGTCACAATAAAACACAAATGAAACTTTTACACAGAAATATACGAAAAAAAAACTTTAAAAAATTTTCTTCTAGAACAGCAGGGCCATGATTAGTCGTATTTATTAATATGGAAGCATACTCAATTAGTATAGATTCAAGTCTTTTCACATCATGGCCCCTGGGGGTAGGATGGGACCACAAAAGGAGATCAAACTTTTACTTAGGAATATATAGGCAAAATTAAATCTTCTCAAGAGCAGCAAAGCCATGATTAGTCATATTACATCAATAGTATGAGCCTGTTTTTTTTTTTTATTTGTTTCCTTGATTTTTTTTTTCATCATTCAGATAGGATGCAGTTTTCTTTCCTAAAATTAAAGCGTCTTGTGTTTTTGACCTCAAAAAGATTCTTGACTCATTGTTCATTTCTTGAATTCTGCCGAAGCTTTTCGGAATAGGGCGTACGTGGCAAAAATATGTAATGTATACAGGCTTTAGCATTAATTAACTTTCTCAAATCAAATAAATAAAAAAAAAAATCACTCCATGTTTTTACTTGTTCTAACCAAAGCTATATGCTATAATTGAGAATATCAAAATATATCAGCACTGCCTGCCGTACCATTTTATTTTTATATTGGTACATTTGAGTTTTTTCACGATCGTTTCAGTAACATTCTAAGGACATTACGTGGCATATATTGCCAGATATAATAGAGTTTTAGTGCAATATAATCTACTATTGGAAATATAATTAACAAATTTTGTTAAGTTGGAATACCAATTGCAATATACCCTAAGTGTCATCAATGATATATTTTGAAATGAAGTTATGTCACCTTCGTTTGTAAAAGGGACTAAGAATGTTTATAATTGTTTCATTTATCAATTTCACTAAATCAATGCACAGCTCATTTAGATTTTATAGAGACTTAAAGTTTATTCTTATAGTTGTATATTTAGGAGTCTTTACTGTTAAAACATTACAGTATGATAAATATTTGTTATTCTATTCATACTTTTTACCTAATTATATTGTCTGAAAACAATTATTATCTTATTTATCTAGCAACTTAGAATCCAGGAAAGGCCCGTAGAACGCGGGGGAGGCCACTTTTTTCTGAGTATAGTATTTTGCTATAGTAAATTTTCCTTTAGATGCAGCCCCCCCCCCCCCACCTTTTGATGTTGTAAGGTCGAGCACTGGCAAAATGCAGGATTTGGACAGTGAAATACCCTTTTTTTTTTTGCTTGTCAGATGATTTTTGGGAAGTTGCCCCCCCCCCCTTTTTGGTCATTCAGAATTTTTTTTTCTATTTGCTTGTCAGATTTTTTTGGGAGGGGGGGAGTTCCCCCTCCCCACTCCCCCACTTTTGAAACCGTTGCTACGGGCCTGCTGCAGGCAACCTCAGTGTAGTTTTTATTCACATTCAATCAACTCTGAACTTTCTATGTTTAATGTACATGTATTTAAATAGCAACTTTTCTCATCGATTTATTAGGTGTGTAATACAAAACCTTACTACCATAAAACAAATCTACTCCATGTGTCAGACAAGATCAATAACATTACTTTCGTTTGTGGTTCTTCCCGTGAATCAGATAAAAGACTCGTTGTCAAGTCGTCCTAAAAAATTCCTTATTTGATTTGATTTTTTTTTTTAATTCAGAAAAAATAAACCAGTGAAATATTGAATCTTATTTTCCGGTGCGGCTGTTTTCACTTTGGAATTACCATTGATACATGTAGGCAAATAAAGTTGACCCAAATAAACGTACAAGATGTAAGCAATATATATTATATATAACTTTAGGGTAATATACTGAAATATTCACGTGTCCGAGGGCTGACACATTATAAATTTCAGAATAATTAATATTAGTAATAAAATTAGTATCAGGGCGCTAGTCAGAATGTTATTAAATTCATATTACATATGGCGCTAAACAGTCTTAAAAATATTTATAATTATATTAATTTTGATAATACACTTATTTAAACTTTTAAAAATTACTGAATTTCACACGTACATATATTTGCGAAATTTTATTTATTTTATTTTAATTCATGTTGTTAATTTCATTATTGTCATGTATCGTATAATCAGAACTTGAACTTGAACAAAATTAACAGCCCCCCCCCCCCCCCCCCCCAATAATTGCTGCAAGCTGGCATACGAGCTATTTTAATGACAATCAAAGGCTCCGGAAGGCATTTGTAATTAAATTATGCTATAAAAATAATCATGACCGGGGTCGATGGATATTTTATTTCAGAATTTATAAAGATCGAAGGACCTTAAATGGTGAAAGGGGTACATGAATTTGAAGAATCAATTTTAAGCTCTAAAAAAATATAAGAAAACTCTTACGTGTATTATATACTTTGCACTTAGCAAACCACATGCCAATCAACTGATTTTATTTTATCTTATTTAGTTATTTGCTTGTTGGAAAATATAAACGAGGGACTGTGGCCCCTCCCCGCCTTAACCTCCTTTCGCAATCCAGCTACCACCGTAAATGTAGATCAATAATTGTCCTCGTTTTTAACATACTCAGGTAAGAGTACTGGATCTAAACCTGCGCATGCCTGTTAATCTACTTTGTTTACATTACACAGTGCTGACCATGCAGTGTTAACTGGACATGTTTTAAAGATGTATATATAACTTAACAGTGCATGAAGTAAGGTGTATGATATAGAATCCACAGCAGGTAAGTTATGAGTATCATAATGTTACACATGTAGTAGTAATTTTGCATTTTGCTAATGTACATGCAAACACTACTAATAAACATGTAAACTTGACATGTTGCGAAATCTAATACGGAAGCCAAGTTGTAGATAAATTTTCGGATTAATTTTAGAGAAATAAAATGAATTTCCCAATATTGAACTGCTGTGTGTTTACCATAACTATTGAATGAGGTTTAAATTTGTAAACAATGATATTTATAGTAAAATGATTAAAAGATGTTTTATTTTATATTTTGTTACTGACATTGATAGATTATATATATTAATATACATGTATATGGCAATTTTGTGTCTCGGAAATAGTAATGCATGTATTTTGCTATAGAGCGAAGAGAAACTTCATTTCCATTATAATCCTTTGAACAAAGTTTGAATGTGAAAAATACCTACCTGTTTTTAAAGAAAATTTTAAAATATTTTTGCAAAATTTAGAACAAGTAACTATCGTCTTCTCATAGATGTGGGTATATGGTATAATATTAAAGAAATGAAAGAGTGTGTTATCTGTTCAATAATAATCAAATTTGAGATGAATTTCATTACTTACTGGAATGTTATGTTATATTCGGAAAAATAATATGTTGACGGTGCGACCGTTGGGGCGAGCGCATTGTTCACTTCATTTGAAGATCAACCTCATCAAACCGCAACGAGACATTTGGAACGTCTAGACTGTGACGTCACATGACGTCGTATGTTAGTTGCATTTCCATAAACAAAGCTTAAAAAGTGCGAAGATTTTAACAAAGAACGTTTAATCTACTATCTGTATGCAATATCCATTAAATTAAGGTGAGTTTATTTTTTGTGAATTTTTAGTTGTTGTTACCGCGCGAACGAAGTTAGCAGCGAGAACAACAAGCGATGCATTGTGGGTCCAGAATATTCTATTGCATGAATGTGCAGTAGTCCGAATTTTCTCTTCGCCCAGGCGTTGTCGTTAGAGCTCGCAGTGACGAGCGGCGCTTCGCGCCGCTCGCTATTATATATGCATACAAATATTATAAAATTCTGTAATTTGATGACATCGATCGATCCTGCATTCCTAAGAAAAATATGTATATTTATCATCAATATCTCTAACACTCTCTGTCCTCCTCAATCGAAATAATCTCTGCTCTTCCATAATTGTTGTACATGTAAATATGTATATGCTTGTACCGGTATGTTCCATTTTTATGGTTTTTTGAGAGAATAAATGAATGAAGGAAGGAAGGAATGAATGAATAATATTTACATTTCCAATGTCTTTGTCTGAGATAAAATTTCAAATGGTAAAAATACAGTAACTTTATTTCTACATAAATCGACAGGTTCATCGATAGGCGTGGTGAAAAAAAATCACGTGCGGGACGGGACAAATAGAGAAAGAAGCGGAAATTGTAGCACGTGAATTTGCAGAATCAAGAGCATGTAAATATAAGGAATAACTGTCAGATTTTTTGGTTTCATGACGATGATCAATCGATTGGCTTGCGTGATAATTTTATGCATAAACGCCTTCGGCGTTTATGCAAATTATCACGCAAGCCAATCGATTGATCACATCATGAAACCCAAAAATTAGACAGTTATTCCTTAATTCAACACTGATCCCCGCACAGTTCTTTTGGTAGCCACCGGGGATATGATTTGAATAATTTTTAAAACAACATTTCGGGAGAACAGATCAAGAGAGGCCCTGCTATTCTTGAGAGATTTTAAGGGATTTACTATCCTAAAGATCTTTACACAGGGAAACTTGCAAATTAATTCAACTGTTCGTGACCCACCTGTTCTTGAGTGGATTTTGAAGATTAAGTCTATATACAATCTAATTAAAATCAGACTTCTTAGATCCGCGCCGTATACAGTCACTCTGCGCAGAGTGTATACAGCGCGGATCTAAGAAGTCTGATTTTAATTATTTTGTCTAATAGATGTATCCATACATGTAAACCTCTGGCCTCTATTCTGGCCTCAGCGAAGTCGCGATGGAAAGAAACCCAACACCGGCGAACCGATGGCGCAGGCATAAAGCATGGCAAAATGCTGGACCTTATGCAAAAGAAAATATAAAGAAATTTAAAAAAATAATTAAGTTGAATGAAAGAAGGAAAAGGAACTGAAAAAATAAGGCACCGCCTTAGTTTGTAAATGACACCGCACACAAAATTTACAAAATAATCCAGTGTTTCTGGACAAATCAAAACTTGATAGATTCAACACGAGAACAGACAAAACGACAGACAGACCGACGCCGGATATACCTCGAACAAAAAAAAAATACTAGAAGTTCTTTCTATAATTAACTTTAAATCATGAGATTGAATCATTTTCCAAAATTATTCCTCAAAATTTCTCATATGATTGTGTAGAAGAAAAGAAATTCGTAAAATTGTAACTGTTTTATGCCTCTTGAATGTAACTTTAAATGTGTACAATAAATTGTTTTTAATTTCAGCACGTACGCATAAAGAGGGTGGAAAAAAAGAGAGAAAACAATATGGTCAGCTTATCTCTGAACCTACAGACCGTGCTCGCTGGTCTTAGCATTGGTCTTTTTGTGTATTACGTCATCAAGCGAATGCGATATCGTCTGCCACCAGGACCATGGTGCATACCGCTTGTTGGCCATTATAAAAGTATATGTCTTTACTTAGAATATTTATTTTTCATCTTTAACAATCTTATGAATGAGCAAATACATATAATTTATTCATTTTGGGTTAACACGAATGAGGTCTTGAAACTATATACATGTACATGTAGACGGTTTATTAATTGGGATTTTTTGTCAAAGTCTTTTTTAAATGTATTTGCTCTGTGTAAACTGAAGCAACAATATAAAAAAATCATTGTAATCAATTTTTCCTTTGATATTTAAAGCATATTGTTAAGCAAACTAAAAAAAACAACTTCTTGTTCAAGTTGTAATTAGGGCCCCGCTCTGCGGGCGCCCTATAGTGATCAGTCTGTCCGTCCGTCCGTCTGTCCGTCCGTCCGTCCATCCGTCTGTCCGTCCGAGATCTCTTGTCCGGAGCATATCTTTTCTCTCTCCTTGGCCCAATCTGGCTCATACTTCACCCACAGAGTGTCTTTGGGTGAAGGGTGTGCAGTGACCTTGAACCATGTTTCTAGGTCTAAGGCCAAGGTCATAACAGAATTATATGAAAAATCCTTGTCGGGAGCATATCTTCTCTCCTCTTGGTCCAGTGTGGCTCATACTTCACTCACAGAGTGCCACTGGTCAATGGATGTGCAGTGACCTTGAACGAAGTTTCTAGGTCAAGGGTCAAGGTCAAAAATAGCCTCTCTGTTTAAAATCTTTGTTCGGTGCATGGTTTCTTTCTCTTATTAGTCTAGTCAGCCTCAAACTTTACCAATTGACGTAGGGTACAGAACATTTGTGAATTTCCTTCCATATTTTGATACATATGCAACAGTTTTCATAGAGGATATGCAACATTTGTGATTTTTGTGCTGCTTTTTGATAGAGGGTATGGAGCACTCATGATTTTCATGCCATTTTTTATTATAACAGGGTTGACATATAAGCCCTTTAAACTCAAACAACACATCCCTTAATAGTACACAAGTGTTCCTCTTCAAAATAAACCCTTTTCAGCTCCTTTACTTTTTCATGTTCCTTGCTGAAAGCGGGGCCCTTTGAGATGGCCACCATCTCAATGATATCTAGTTGATTCTGGTAGGTACGGGTATTAAAATGTATGGTACCATTTAAAATATGTTACACTAAAAAGGAAAAAAAATATTGCATGGAGAAAAGAGACTTATATGGAAGAAGAAAAAAATTATACATTATTGAAAAAAATTGAAATCTTTTATTAAACTATTTTCAGTTTATTCCTCTTTGGAAATTCACAAAAAAGTTGCCGAGCTCACAAAGGAATACGGCCCAGTTCTAAGTATATCATTTGGTGAGTTTTGCTTTCAACACAGCCATAGATTATGATTCATGTTTATATTGTGTGTGTGTGTGTGTGTGGGGGGGGGGGGGGGGGGGGTTGCAAATCATCAATCAAATCTATGCATTCGGGCTTTCCATATTTTTTGAAATCTGAGATGAAACTTTTCGATTTATCGAGGTGCCACTGTACCAGCTGGCTACAGTTTTTTTTAATTTTATTTCTTTTGTATATTAAATCAATGCATGCACGATAGTTTGCAAAATTGAATAAACATTGAAATTTCAAAATTGTTTAGCATTAAGCAATGCATCGAAGCCCTTTTCAGAAAAACAAAGAATTATAGATTCTAAATATTTTGAAGCTGTAGATAAATGGATTTTTACTTTCTTATAAATTTGAAAGGCCCCCAGTCCTGGATTTTTCTGAATAATAATGATGTTGTGATAGAAGCATTGGTAAAAAGGAAGGCAGACTTTGCTGGAAGACCAAAATTCCCCTCAGGTAAATAAGACATACTCTATCAATCAAAATGTAAATATTACTCTGCTGATGGAGAAAAAAAGTATTCTTGAGATAAATATATTTTTAGATGAGGTTTTATTGAAGTAAATACATTGATAAATACTTTTTTAAATATGTTTAAAATATACTAATAGGAGATGCTTTCACTGAAGGAGGTAAAGACATAGCGTTTAGTACTTACTCACCAACTTGGAAATTTCATAGGAAAATAGCAGGCAAAGCTCTCAGGTGCGTCCCTATGTGAAGCGATGGATAATAATTGTTTCATAATAATAATTTACAGTCTTATACTTTGTTGCTCTTCATGTATTTTGGATAGAAATTACTTTTCAAGAATGGAAAGAGAAATATCTTTATTAAAACCATGCCATTGAATTAATCGTTTGTTTTTGCAAATTCTCTTTTCTGCACTCAATTTTTAAGTATTTGGTTTTTTTATAGATAAAAAAGACAAAATGAAGATTTTCATTTACAAAACACAAGTCCAAACCATTTGACGTTTCCAAGCACATAAATACAAATATAGTAATTCTTCTAAAATGAAATATGGAGATAACGAACAGTATTCAAGCTCAAAAGTCCATTATACAATACAAAATAGGAGCAGAGCAAACACGGACCCCCAAACATCAGAGGTGGGATCAGGTGCCATGGAGGAGTGAGCATCCCCTGCCGACTGGTCACACCCGCCGTGTGCTCCTTGTCATGATCGGGAAATAACGGAAAAATCCGTCGACAATTCAGTTTGTAAATAATGGCCTAACAATTAGTATGAAAAACGTCAGTCAGCATTTGACTCAATGATAAATTGTATTTGCTGACAAGGTCATTGTATCGACCATAGAACTTACGAAATGATGACTTTAAACGAGACAGCTGATATTCTTGTTTCATCAACTTATTTGTCAATAATTTACCTCGTTTTAGAAATTGTACATACGTAGAACATGCTCTTGCGTATCGAATCAACTGAGAGATATATACTCCGTATGCAGGTGATGAAGGTATAAAATATGAGTCAAAACCAATGAATATGTATAGCAACACGGATTTATTAAAATTTGATATTTTAGACATTATTTGCAAGGAGATCTACTCGAAAACATGATACAGGACAACATGGAAAAATTTCTCAGTAAAATGGCACAGGAGAAGGAACCATTCATTTTCAAAGATTATGTGGATCTGATGGTTTTTCATCAACTCTACACCATTTGTTTTGGAGAAAAGTAACTCTATTAAATTTTCTTCTTTCTTGTTTTTTAGATTTATGTTGATTAATATTTGGTTTCAAACATGTACTTACTAATGGTCACTTCATGATGATGTACAATTCAAACGCCACTTTTAGAACACTCATTTACTGAAAAACTATAACATTGACATTAACTCAGAGTTTTAGTTGTAAAAAAAAACCGGATTACTATAAAGTCAGATATCTTAAATTCAAAATTGTTGTCAATGGACAAAATAACCATGCACATGTAATAAATAAATATCAGTATGAAAATTAAATTTTAAACTATTTCAAGAAAACAATGGAAGATTAATGGTAATGCGGATAAAATTTAGACAACATTTTTATTTTTCATTATTATATTTTTTTTTATTGAAGATATTAATCTAAAAGTTAGGTTTCTATGTGCTTTATCATATTGATGTCAGGCGACCTATAGATGACCCAGAAGTGAAGGCATTACTTAAATTAGATGAAGATTTGATTAAGGAGCTTGGAAGTGGTGTACTAGAAGATGTTTTCCCATATCTAAAAGACATTTACCCTACAGCTAAATGGCAGAAATTAATCGAAGGTACAGATCAGCTTTTGGGAATTCTTCGGGCTAAATTCAAACAACACGTGGACACTTTTGAACCAGGTTATTAATTGTTAACACTTTTGAAAATAATCTTTTTTTAAAATTATCTTTAAATGACAGGCTTGTGTGCGTAAGAGAGAGAGAGAGAGAGAGAGAGAGAGAGAGCAGTAGCTCTGAATGAAAATGGAGAGAAATAATTGCATTAAATGTTTCAGTAGAAGTTCTTTTCTTTACTAGATAACAATTTTGGTTTTATAGTTTTAGATGGATTTGTTAAGTAATTTATGGACCACAAAGGGTCCCTGAATAAGGCTCATATATATATATATATATATATATATATATAACTCTGATTTAAGGACTAGGGAGACCAGACCATTATATGTGGCTTAAGGAGACAATATACAGATTTTTTAAATTTGCTTTTTTCTAAAAAGAAATACCAGATCAAAGATCTCTAGAACACCATTTAGTCGACTCTTGCTTTATTTTTTCATAATAAATGTCTCCTAAAAATATATGAAAAAAATGGTCTCCTTAATATTTTATGTTTCTCTCATATGACTTAAGGAGACCAGTGTATATTTTTTATAAATATAACTTGTGGTTTAAGTAGACCATTTTTCTTTCATAGTAATTTCACTTATTATGCATTAATTAACATATTGTTTCCAACCAGAATAGTTGCGGATGGTCATTAGTCAAGGTCAGCAGAAAGATATTTGTGCTAATGTGACTCAACATGATCAGTACAAAACTTTGAATTAAACTAAAGTCATTGCACAAGTGACTTAAATAGAGAGTAGTTGCCCCAGTGGCGCAGTGGTTAGAGCATCTGCTCTAGAGTAGCGAAGTAAGGAGTTGATCCTTACGTCGCAGGTTCAAATCCCACTGTGGGATGGGGAGACCGGTCCTTCAGATGAGACCGTATAAATCGAGGTCCTGTGTCGCAGTAGGTGCTGGCACGAAAAAAATCCCTCGATGCTCAATGGCCGTAAGTGCCGAGTATAGGACAAAATTTGCAGATCTCCACCGGCATGTGGTGGTGTCTCCATATGAGTGAAAAAATCTTGAGAGGAATGTTAAACAACATACAATCAATCAATATATAGAGAGTATAAGCCCAGAGTAGCTTGTTCTGATATCCACATTTAACTCTCAATGCTGTCGCCCACGTGGTGCAGTGGAAAGAGCCTATGCTCTAGAGTCGTGGAGTTAGTTGATCCTTTTGTCACATGTTTGAATCCCACTGTGGGACGTAGAGACCGGTCCTTCGTACAAACAGAAGTCCAGTGTCGCAGTAGATGCTGGCATGAAAAAGATCCCTCACTGCCCATTGGCCCTGAGTGCCGAGCATAGGTCATTTGCAGCTCTCCATCGGCAAGTGTTGGCATCTCCATATGAGTGAAAAATTCTCCAGAGGGACGTTAAACAACAAACAAACTCTCAACGCCCAAAACAGTTTAACCTAAAAGTGAATGCAGACACAGATTATTCTTTAGACCAAGTATAGTATACTCCATATTGTTTTGTTGAGGACAGAAAGTTCACAGTGGACATCAAGTAGCTTTTCCTACTATTTATACCCAGCTTCTTTTAAACCATATAGTCACCGAGTGCATTCGCTTTTCCAACTAATTGATGAAGTTCTGACCTATGCCTATATTTGTTTAAATTCTTTCTGATTTAAGAATACATTTGACCAGTTGAAACCAAGAGTACATGTACTACATAAAATTTCAAGGTTGTGATTAAGATTCAGTAAAAGTCATGCCCCATCCAGTATAGCAATATGTGGATGCCATGTTCAATATGCATATTTGCTATCATTAAACTTGCAGAGACCATGAATCAAAATAATTCAAATGCTTAAAAATCATTTTATTTTTACTGCTAGTCAAAATACAGTCACTCAAGCATATCCTTTGTTAATTTGAAAAAAAAAATGATAGTTTAACATTTATTATTAATACCATACCAAAGCACAAGATAGTGCACTTCTTACATAATCCAATGATTCATGCTGTGATTTTACCAATTTAGATGCTTCTTATTTACAGTTCAGTATACATGATATACCAGTACAATGTGACACTAACCTAGTATCAGTTAAATGGATCATTACTATTCTGTTTTAAAGAAGTTTGCAGGGTAAAAAGTATAATAAAATAGAAATGTTGATACATTTATTGATTGCATATGCTAAAAACTTTTATAAAATATCAAACATTGTATCATAACAGCTTTTACAAATTAATTCAATACATTCAAAGGTACAAAAATCAAATTATTTTCATCCACAGTTTTATCATATTCAGTTGAACAACAGCTACATCTATTATATAAAATGTATGGTAGTTGGCACTGATGGTATATATATCCTGAGCAAAAAAAAACATACCTAATCAAAGAATACAAAGCTCACTTCTATAAATGTTATCTACTAGTAAGGCAAAGTCTCACTCAACAAACACTTTGGTAATGTATATCATCTGGATCCAAAATCTATGCAAGTTGGTCTGGGTTAGATTTAACTGCTCAATAACCCTGAAAATGTATGTTACATCCAGCATCAGAAGCAGGATACATCATCTATGTTTACTGATCACCAAAGAGTACATTGTTACTTTGAATGAACCTTCTCTAAAAAACTGGTCATTAATCCAGAAAATCTAAGTCAAATCAAGGATTGGTACCCTGAAACATTTACATGTACATACATCATCTTTGCAGGTTTGTTCAACATAGAGTTTATAATTACATGAGAATAGGACTGCTCAAAACACTTAATCTTGTGGAGTCCCCCATGTGGCGCAAAGGATAGAGTTTGTAATCTAGAGTCGCAAGTAAGGATTTAATCCTTAAGTCTCAGGTTCAAATCCACTGGGGATGTGGGGACCAGTCCTTCAGATTAGACCATATAAACCGAGGTCCCGCCTAGCAGTTGATGTGGGCACAAAAAAGATCCCTTACTGCTCAAGGCCCCGAGTGCAAAGTATAGGTCAAATTTTGCAGTTCTCCACCAGCAAGTAGTGGCATCTCCATATGGATGAAAAATTCTTGAGAGGGATGTTAAACAACAAACAAACAAAAACAAAAAAACACATGAGGAAAATGTAGATCAGGTCAAGCATCTGAAGTAAATCTGTTAATGTGCTTTAATCCATGCAAGTCTGTCCAGGTAGAGCTTAGGAATGAACCTTGCTCCTTAAATTTTAACTGGGATGACAATGCTAGGTATATAGTAAGAACTCATCTAGACTGTCCAGAAAATCTAAAAAATATTTAGCAATTTCTTACTTGCATGATTTAAAAAAATCTGCAGTCTAACATTATTTCGAAAAAAATTTCAACACATTTTCTAATTTTCAACAAATTCAATGCACGATGAGACGATTTAACATTTCTTAACCACATACACTGTACTTAAAGTGCAATATACATGCATTATACTGTATGTTAAATCTTTACAGTTTTCTTCAAGTACTCTAATAGTATATGAAATATGAAGATTACCAACAGTGATCAAGCTTTAAAGTCCATTCATTTGAAACAATACATAATTAGAGCAGAGCAAACACAGACCTCTAAAAACACCAGGTGCAATGGAGGAGAAAGCATTTCCTGCCATGTGCTCCATGACATGATTGGGCAAATGGAAAAATCCACAAACAATTCAGTGTAAACAATTTTGATGAAAAACATTAGTCAACATTCAACTTAATGATCGATTGAATTTGCTATAACAATTAATTTACACGTAAGTGTACACACATGTATGCATACTAGATGAATTATTTCACAATATCCAAAATTGGACAATAATAGTTTCTAATCTAGCTAGACAACAGGAATTTTTCATTATTACTTAAATTACATGAAACTATTGAAGTCTATGAGATACAAATTATATCTAAAAATTATACACATTTTAACAAGTGTTTACAGTTTAGTGTATTTATTATACACAAATGATGACTTAGTAATTATGACTTACTAGTAAAGTCCACAGATTGACTTCCAGATTTCAGCTCAAAGGCTTGAAGATTTTTTAGTGGCTCTTTCATCATTTTTTTTTTCACTGAATATTTTCATTTTTATTTTCAAGACGCTGTTTTTGTTGAGGTCTTTTAGCTGTTTGATGCAATCCAAGAACTCCAAGGGCAATTTAAGAACTCCTGAATTTCTTTCTTACCTGGAAAAAATAAAAATTTAAAAGTTTAAAATATATTCAACTTACATGAAGAAAACTAGTAAAACTAGTGATAATGTAATAGACCTTTCATATGTTCCAAAGCAGCTACATGTATCTAATTAAAAAATATAAAGTTTGAAGTATTTAGAGTCACCAGCATTCTGAACAAGGGATATGTGTATTTGACAGACAGATGAATGAATAGACTGATCACTATAGAGCACCTTAGTCTTTTTTCAATAATCTTTATATTAGTGAAAATCAAATAGGAACTAGAGTGTTTCAAGGAATGTATATGTCACCTGCTAGGTATCGTCATTAAAGAGGTAAATAAATCTAAGAGTGGTCAGCTATTAATTTAATATTAGCATGGAGGTTCAAGCATTTGCCTGCAAGGAAAAAAAAGATCCAAAAGTAGTTAAAAGACTGGGATAGAATCTGGCAGTCAAAGAAAATATAGTTCCCCAGTCCTCAAATGAATAATTTAATTGAAATTATGAGGAATAACTATTTATCATTTTATTAATACACATGTAGGTGCTTCCAACAATCCTCTGAGGAAAGGAATTTCAGACTGTCTTTACTTTAATTGTCACTTTGTCAGTCAACACGATTCATTGTGGAATACTGATCCCAATGTATTTTCATAGTATTTAAATATAAGTTTGTGTGGTAACTGAATTTCATACAGTTTCAAAGTATAGTATCATGAGCTCAAAAACATATATAAATGCTAATTATCAAAACCCTGCCTCTCAAAATTATGGAGATATAAGGTGTGACAAACGGACAGACAGACACCAGGTAAAGTGATCTCTAAGTGTCGTTCTGCTCTGCAGTTGACACAAAAATGAAAGTCAGTCAA